CTCTCTCTCTCTCTCTCTCTCTCTCTCTCTCTCTCTCTCTCTCTCTCTTTCTCTCTCTCTCTCCACTCACTTTTAAAGATATAATGAGATCTTTTGTCTCCGTCGGATCATCCCGAACAATTACACCTTTCTCGAGTTGGCCTACTTTTCCCAACCACGAATATCAGATTCCATCTCCTGTTCCTTTGTTGCATCAGACCAACGTAGAATAATTCGCAATTATGTATTTTTCAAAAATTTCTCCGTAACGCTACTCCGGTTATAATATTGCCCGCCGAGGAATTCAATTATAAGTTTTAATTAGATTTTTGAAAAAGTTGCTCGTTTTCAAATTACAAGGATACGTGACGGACACCGCCAAGCAAGATGAACTGATAAATAATTTCGAGACACACGTGGCTCTATTGACGAAGTACAATCGGATAATTTCAAACTTCACACCCTTGGCCGAGCCCATAGAGAAATTCTACTTCGAGGGAAACGTGTCCTCGATGGAGGAAATTCAAAATATTACGAACGTGCGTATTCGTTTATAATAAATATATATATAATATTCGAAATGGAATAGAAAAATTTGTAATAATTACAATTTTATTTAATTGATTATGAAATTAATTCATGATTATTTTTAATTTTTTTAGTATTTTCTGTTTGTGAATTAGTATTAGGATTATCATTATTAATAAGAATTAATTATGAATTGGGTCATCAAAAATTAAATATATTAATTTATTAATTTTAAAATGATAATTATTATAATATTTATTTATTTATTAATATTATTTATAAAAAATAAATAAATAATTTAAATTTAATTATTGGTAATTTAATTATATTTATAATATTAATAAATTTATTTAATTTTAATTGAATTGAATGAATTTATAATATGTGAAATTTTAGATTTAATAATTTTTCTTATGGATTAGTTATATTAACTTTATGAATTTTTGATTTAATTTATATATCATTAAATGATAGTAGAATAAATTGTTTATTTATAAATTTAATATTGATAATATCTTTATTATTAATTTTTTTATCAATAAATTTATTAGTATTTTATTTATTCTATGAATTAGGTTTATTATTAATTTTTTATATAGTTGTTGAATGAGATTATGAGTGAAAATTATTAATCAGGATTTTATTTAATATTTTATACAATAATTTTTTCATTATCGATATTGTATATTATTTATTATATTTATTGAATTAATTGTAGACTAAATTTTATATTAATAGAAATATTGAATTTAAGTTTAAATTTAATGTTATTTATTTATTTATTAATATCTTTTTTAGTTAAAATTCCAATTTATTTATTTCATGGATGATTATTAAAAGCTCATATTGTTGAAGCACTTTATTTTAGAAACGAAGATTTTTGAAAAGTGTGAATAGGATTATTGTAAAAATATCTTCGAAACTTAATCATTTAAATTAATCATTTAAATTAATCTTTTATCTTATAATATTTCCATATTCTCGAATACTTTTAATCTTTTCTAAACTTCGAACTTTTTTAACCTTTATTGAGATTTTTTTCAAATTTTTCGAATTATTCAAATCTTATGCAAATGATTTCAATTATAAATGAAAACATATTCGTCTTCTTAAATTAATTAATTTTCACGTTAATCTTATCGTTAAATTTATAAATTCTTACAGGTCTCGAGCGATGGCTTCCTATTCTACTCAGCGTATCAAACGTTGAAGTACCAATCGAAAGTAATGAATTCGAGCACGTATTTTTATTTGTTCAATTACGAGGGTACGTTCACCCACCTTTTTACCCTTGGATACCAAACCCGTTACGGCAAGTATTTTAAATTCCATCCACTAATTAATCACTGATGAACAATTTCTTTTTCTCTTCTTCTCTAATTTTCTTCTTTCTTATTTTCATCGTTCGTCTCGAAAAAAATCGAAATAACTGTATAAACAAATCAACGATTTGCAGGAGTCTCGCACAGTGACGACTTGAACTACTTACTACCTATATTGAACGTGAAATTAAAGGATCTAATGTTGCACAATACAGAAAACGATATCACTATGATCAACATAATGACCGAATTGTGGACCAATTTCGCAAATACGGGGTATAAAATTTCGATTCCTTCGAAACTCGATATTATATATATATATATATATAAAGTAAAATATATGAAAAATATAGAAAAAATTCGAGAAGGGATTAAAATAGAAATTTTGAATCGACAGTGTACCGAGTGCCTGGAGAATATCGTCGTGGCCGGATTACAAGGATTCCGAGAGGTTCCTTTTGATCGGAGATGGAAAACTCCCGAACGTGACGGTGGGGGACACGTTTTTCCAGGAACGAATGGAATTTTGGGACGAATTATACGTAAACATAACACCGTACCTAAACTTTGTCCAAAAAGAATCCAAAGACGTTTCCAACACTTCCACGAACCGTTGCCTAGGAATATTATTGTATTTGACATCGACCTTATTTGCGATCTACTTTCCATAAACGAAATTCAACCTATACATATGTATATACATATATACATATATTACAATATAAATTATTCCTAACAAAGATACACGCGATTGATTCATAAAATTTTTACATACTTT